AATAGAAAAATGGGCCACATGACAAAGAATTATCTTGTTTTCAGCTCACCCTCTTAAGTCAGCTATGAGAATTTGTCCTCCATTCCGGACATCAAATATTTTCACAGATCTGTCAGAAGAGCAGGTTGCCAATCGAGTGCCATAGTAATCCATTTGAGCATCATGCTAGGAAGTAATGTAATAAGCTTTTTAAAACCTCGTTGTTTCAAAAACAACAATTTTTAAATCTTTGAAAATGTAATATTTATTCATTATTCATTGTGATTTGGATGGTCACTTGTCTCAGAAGTGACTAGGAACAGCAATTTTAAAAAAAATAAATTAAAAACAAATTCCCATCAAATACAAAAATATAAAATACAAAGCATAAGAAGATATCATAATAAATTACAACCAGGAGTTATATTATATATTAACTATTTGGCATCAATGAGTGGTAGCATGCAGGTTCACAAAGTATTTTACTGGAAAAACAATTACAGTCAGCACTTCATTTTAGCAGCTAAAATGATAAGTAGGTAACCAGAAAAATGTGCTAGACAGTTAAAAATGAGAAAGCATTTTTTTTTGCCCTAAATGCTTGCCAAATATCACAACTGCCATAACATTTTTCAAAATCTAATAATATTCCAATAAAAATGTTAGAGGATGTTTTTTGAAAAATCATTTTGTTTCAGTGAAAATTCCCAGATATTTATAAGGCCACCCAACTCATAATTTATGACTATAGACAGCATACCTCAATTTTGAAAAAAATTAATAATATGAAAAACCAACAGTATAACAAAGCACAATCATGGAGAGAGATAAGTCTGGACTGAGACAAGGATTTACTCTCAAGTAGAATGTGTTCAATTATGATTATATAACGTCACCATATTATTAAGGCTGGCATCTACTATTTTATGCATATTTCAAAGTAGCAAATACTACTCACTGTTACACTCAGAAAATATAACAGATAATGTGTCTCTTGCTCCACTCACCCCTACATCTACATATGGTATACAGTATATGCTATAATATGGTAAATTAACATGTAAATATATTAAAAATGAACATCTACCACACTTCGGGCATGTTCATCATTCTAATGCCATATTTTCTGGATTCAATTAAGCCCATTCTATCTCTCCAAAGAAAGGAGAGAATTATTAGCCTTACCATAATTTTCTTTTCCCTTCCATGTAAAAAGTAGCTTTAGCATATAGGTGTTTCTTTAAAGTTTTCTATAGTACATCAGAAAAATATTCATTCCTTGCATTATCTTACCAAAATGAATTTTGCTGTATTAATTTCGGAATAGAAATGTATTATAAAAAAGAGACAAAATACTTACTATCATATCCTCATGGGAAGTGTCCACTGTATTAATTACAGACACCTAATAAGAAAATACAAAGAAGCTGTAAAGACACTAATAGATTCTGACCTTATATTTATAGTCAAGAATTAAAATATATAGGACTTGGCCATACTGTTTACAGTAGTTTATCTACATTAATATGATTAATTTTCAGATAATTTTAGAGCATCCCATAAGCATTTTGACTTCTTTGTCCTTAGTTAATCTTTAGAACTTCCATGACATATTGAAACTGATGCTAGTATAAGGTAATACGAGAAGCTAATCTTTAGCTGGCTGACAAGACAGGAAAAAAAGTGGTGGCAGAACAACTAGTTTTGAAAACTTGGTTCTCATTCTCATACTGATTACCCTACCCACAAAACTGTGCCTATCCCAGGATGTAAAAATATCTTAGACCCAGGACAAAGGCGTTTGTGAACAGGTAAGTCTAATTTCAATAGTTTTATGGACTGTTTAAGCACATCTACTAGTACTACAATCCATCCTGATCTCCAGCAAGGTCAATAAGGTTAACTATCCAGAAAGCTAGTACAGATAGCACTCAACTTACAACCATTAATTAGTAACCATTCAAAGTTAAAACAGCACTGAAAAAAGTGACATGACAGTTTTTCACATTCCTGATTACTGCAGCATCTTCATGGTCATATGATCAAAGTTTAGGCTCTTGGCAAATGGCATATATTTATGGCAGTTGCACTGGTCCAGGGTTGTGTGAACACCATTTGTAACCTTCTCAGATGGTTTCCAGCAAGCAAATGCAATGTCAGATTCGCTTAACAATCTTATGATATATTTAACAACTCTAGTGATTTGTTTAACAAATCTGGCAAAAGGTTTGTAAAATCGAGCACAACTGACTTAATGATTGTCTTGCTTAGCTTATTGCAGCAATAAGTCAAGGACTACCTGTACAGCATTCAGCATAAATATGCCCTGATGGGGGAAAAAAAATGCTTGACTTTTTCCTGGCTGCTACCCAGCTTCCCAACTGTCCTCCACAATATCAAATTAAGTTGGTCACCAAATCCTAGTAACTGGTTTGGATCAGTCCCAAAGGTGCTTTTTCAAGGGGCAACTGGACTTTCTTGGAAAAAGCACCTTTGGGACAATCATGACCTGGATGAACGAGAATTTCCATAGACGTTTGGTTTGGATCAGAAACATTTTAAACCAGTAGATCTGTGATGTAGCCTTTTGACAAAATACCTGCTTCCGTTTTCAGTTCAGTGCAAGACAACCGCCCCCTCCCCCGCCCAGAATTAAAAACAAAATGAATGAAAAAGAGGCGCTTGGATGAATGGAGTAGATACGTCTCTTGCAAAGCGTCCAGCAGTACAGGACGGGCGTTTTCAGGACCTCAAACGAATGGCTTGGGAAAGAGTCTTAGACGTGGCCGGGATCAGATAAGAGCTGGAGTCGGGAAATGGGCCTCGATCCTCGACTCTCGCCTCGCTCGACCTTCGCCGTTTCCCCGGAGAAGCTCGGCGACCAGCTCGGCCCTTCAGGAACTGGCAAAAGGACCACCGCCAGCCGCTACCCCCGCACTCCTAAGACCCGGAGGGGAGCACCCTGGGCCGCCAATATGACTACCCTAAGCGAAAGGAGCCCAAGTTTGATCGCCAATCCCGGTCCTCCGCCCACCCTCAATCTCACCATGGTGGCGACGACGAGAGAGGAATCTCCACCGGACCAGCCCGACTCCGCAATACGATTCGCCCGCCCGCCCGCTCTCAGACGTGGCAAGCCGCAGCCCGGCCGTGCGTACGACAGCCAAAACCTTCCGGCTAGGGGGGAAAAAAGCCCTCTTCCTGAGATCCGCACGAAAGTTCCTCCTCCTGCTCCCGAGGCCGCCTTCTTCACCTTCCTTCTGCCAAGAGAGAGGCACTGCGTGTTTCGGGACTTCTCCCACAGCCTCCCTTTTGTAACCTTTGCCGCCTTTATTCCCCCGTTGCTTTGGGGATGAGGGCAGAGTGATTATTTTTTCTTACGGGCTTAAATCCTAGCCAGTTTGGATTGAGTTGAGCGGGTGTAAATCGCGGTTTATGCATGATGTGAACAAATAGCCAGCAAGCTAGGGCTTGGTGCAGTGTATAATCTCAGCCAGAAAACAAATCAGATTTGTTTTCCTGCCCTCAGTATCAGAGTTCCCCGAATGATTGATGCCTTGATATTGGATCATCAATTGCTCCACTGGCTGGGAATAGTGCGATTATAGTCTGACACGTTTAGAGGTCGCACGATGGATAAAGTAGTATGGAAAAATTAAGAGTTTCACAGGGCTGTTGAAAGGCTGAGTAGGCTAAGTCATGTTTTCACTGCGAGTAAAATGCTTTCTACCCCCAATATTAAAAATGATTATGCATTTGTAGTAAAATGTGTTGTGGTTAGAGTATGTTATAATGTTGATAGGTATCAACATTGACTACCAGTTTCCTTCAATGCTGTTAACTTTTAGATAAGAATTTGGAAATGGGACAAAAGCTGAAAAATAATTTAATTTCATGAATTGTGCAGCAAAATCATGCCTGGAATGGACAATACAATCATTGTAGAATCCACTTCTCATATGGTGGTGTTGCTTTCGTTTTCTTTTCCACAGCTTGGTAGAATGAGTATTGAAACTTGAATTTGTAAATCCTTTTTTAAAAATAAATAAATAAATAAAATGATTAACACTTTCATGTGGAAGAATCAAGTTATAGATGAGTAATCCATAGCTGTTACTTGATGCTTGTTGCACTCAATGTATTGATGTTGTCAATCATTAAACATTTCCTATTTGGTAACTGAACTGTAAATCGCACTAGGACAAAACATTCTCAAAGTGCTAGAAAAGTACATTCTTGTACAGGAATTATATACAGTTCTTGACACAAGGAAAGAAAAATCTAGATGTATCAAAAATTCATGCCAGAGAGCTGGGTGCATCTTTGCTAAAAAATAAATAAATAATCAAACTGGTTGCAATTTTGTGACATCTAACTGTAATTTTAAACAGAACTCAAGAAAATTAACATTTTCAGTAGTCATGCATTGACTTGTCCTGTATCTGCCCTAGATTCATTGCTTATATTCACACGACACATGGAGGCATAAACCACATTTCAGTCTAGTAGGTTGCATGAATCGAGCATGGATGGTTCAATATATTGTACAAGTAGTTCAATTAACCAGGACTAAATGTCACACAATTATGCAGCAATGGGAATTCTTTTAACCTTGTTAATTGGAAATACTGTAAAGTTACGAATAAAAGCAAACCGAACATAACTGTAGTTAGCATCGGTAGTCAGAACAAATTTACGGTTCAATTCAAGTTCCTGGGAGTGATAAGTGATAGCTTTTGTAATGAGCCATTTTTTTTTTCAAAATGAATGCATGCTTATCCACCATCTATTTTACATTTATGGTGCTGCATAGACCTCAAATTAATTTGTATGCCATTATTCCGAATTTAAAAAGTACTTGGCAAAGTAGGAACAGCTGCTCCCACACTGGAAGAGTGGGTAGATTGATGGATGTAGAGAACTTCCTACTTAAGGCAAACTAATTGACTTTCTGCCTTGCGTGTCAACATCAGTTGTCCCTAGCCAGATAGACGTGATTCATTGCTGGTCTGTTTCTCTCTCTCTCATTTCAGGATGATTTGCCATTTGATTGTAGTGTGTCAGCAAACACCTGCAGTTCTGCTGCAGCACTGGCCAAAGAGCCACTGAGATGGGGTGAGAAGAGAAGCAGCTGCCACCGCCTTTCCTCCACTTTTCTTTCCCAGAGAACTTGAGAGGCTGCAGATGTCTGCCGGTAGGGGGTGCCATTAGCTCAGCTACAGCTCCAACAACAGGCTATATATATCCTATGATAACAGTCCAGGGGCTTAGCTTTTCCAGTGACTTCTAACCAAGGGGGGGGGGAGAGAGGAAAAACACTACCCCTGTGCCCCTTCTGTCGCCATATTCTCCATGCAGATTTCACGCCGGCAGGGCTCCCTGATTAGGACAGCTACAAACTTGAACTCTTGCTTGAAATCTGTATATTAAAGTAAGCCGTGTTGAAGATATCGTCTTCCAGAACCAGCTGTTCAAGATGACCAACATATCCTATCATATCTCCAACCTCTTGGAGAAGATGACATCCACTGATAAAGATTTCAGGTAGGAATTAGGGTTTCTTGGAGGAGGGTGGTGGTGGCCTGTGTGTGTGCGCGCAAGAGAGAACTGCAATTCCCTGTTTGGAGGTGTGTGTTGCTTTTGTGAACTGTTTGGTGAATTGCCCACATGTGTCTGTATTTGCAAAGGAGAGGTGGGAGGGAGGCAGTTGTGGAGGAAGGGGTGATATTTTTTAATAAGGGCAGCTAAAAAAGGAAACCTTTATCATGAAAAAGGTACTTATGCTTAGCTAGAATTGATAGCGTACGGGAAGCAGGGCAATGCTGTAGGCTGTGTTTATAGATAAGGCAGATAGGAAATTTACTGCAGGTTTCCTCATAGGGAGAAAGGGAAAGATTACGTTCTCCAATTTTTCATGCAGCTAATATAGCAACCTTTTATATCCTTCCTCGGAGGTGGAGTGGAAACACTTTTCATCAGCTGTTACCTTCACTAGTTGGATTAAAGAAAAACAAATGTAATCTTTGCTAATAAACTGGAAAGCTAGAGAGAGCATTGGTCACCAGGCACTGTTTTGCTGCATTGCTGAAAGAATTTCTGTTGGAGTTTAATCCATTTTAAAAGATGCTTCATTTAATTGGAAATATTTATTCCTAAATAAGTGACAGTATGATGTATATTAGAAGTACTGGCATATATTGTACATTTGGAAGGTCTTGAAAGAAATGGTGATAAAAGCAAAGAAGGTGAAGTAGTGCTATCAAATATATTAAAGGGGATGAACTCAGAACAATTGAATGTTCCTCAAGCTATTATCTTCCAGATGTTGGGGGCAGGGGAGTGTAAATCCTAGAATTGGCAGCTAGGAATCCTGGGAATTGTAGTCCCAACACATTTGGACAGCAGCAAGCGAAGAAGGTTGAATTAAAGCAGAGTACAGAAACTGATAGTTCATTGTTTCAAGATGTTAAAATAAATTCCTTTTTGATTTCACAGCAACAATAGACTTATGCTGGCTTACATATATAGTACATTTAGTTTATTTTACTCTGCTTGTAGATTGAAGTGTAATAAGATCATTTACTTTGATAGGCACAATTGGAGGGGAGGAAGGTTGTCCCTTATTTGAAATATGGATATGTCACTGGAAAGACAGTCAAATTATTTTTCTTTTTGCAAACGTTAAGTTTATCAGGATATAAAACACAAAAGAAAATGAAAATAGTGGGAAAGGGGGGAAGGGAAGAAAGTGTAGGGTAAAGTGGGAACAAGAAAAGCACTGACTTCCAACTCTTATTAGCGCAGTAGTATAGGATAATAATATTACAGCCTTCAGTTTTTTTATTTTTACATGCTAATATATACTAACCATTTCTGTAACAACAAACCTTATCTAACTAGCAAAAAACAAAGTCAAAGTTTCATTTTTCCCCATCTCTAGCACAAAATCCAGAAGCAGAAAAACAGTAAAATTCTTATCAGAGAATATAAAGCTTACTGGAGTCAAAAGTTTGTGAGATCAGGCAGATATTACTGATTTACTTAAAAGATGTGTCCCATATTTTTTATGTTTGTTGAACTCAGAACTTTCTTTGTATCCCAAACCAGAAATAATTGCTTTGAATAGGCAGCAAATGCAATTGAAGTATTATCTATCATGATCTAATATATTGCATGTTGTCTGTGTCAAAAACTCAGAAGTATCTATATTTTTTAAAATGTTTCACATTTTTAAAATTGTGCTCTTATTTTATAGATCAGTCTTTATAAAATCTTGTCCCTAGTCAGATGCTTAGTAATTACCAAATATTTTCTGAATATTGTTTTAATTATATGCTATAAGAGAAGGAAAATAGAAAAAAATAAGTAATAACTAGCTTACAGTAAGAAAGGATTTTAACCATATTTTATTGATGAACCCATAAAGGTAAGATAAAGTAAACCTTGATTAAGATATGCTTATAGATCACACTAAACTGAAAGCAAAGAGTCTGGTATTATATAGGGATCAGCATCAGCATGAACCATAATGGCACAAACCAATATTAGGAATAAACTAGCCAGGTGTATCTTATGATTCCTAGCCTGGGCATGTTCTCCTTCATTATAAGTCCTTAATTAGTGTCTGTCTTCATACTAATGCTATCTTTTTAACCATAGATTCCTGAACAAGTCATAGTTACCTCATTCACACATATAATTTATATGAAGCTATAAATCATGATTTAACAAATAATAATGTTTGATTTCATGTATCACTTGAGTTAAAACGAAGGAAATCACATTATGGCTTAGGGATATGTTAATCCCCGGAAATGTAGCAGGCAATGATACAGTTATAAAACTTGGGCTTTTTTATCCCTGCTGCTATATATCTTAGTTCCTTTTTTGCAGTGCTGGAATCTGAAGGACTGTTCCCCATTTCATACAAGTAGAGAATCTTTTCTCGGTGCTCAAGGCTAATCTCTGACATGTTCATGTTTTCCAAGTATTAATAGGTAGCTTTGCCCCAACTTTATCCTAGTGAGATCCAACATAAGATAGAGTTGCATTCAATGTTGGCTTTTAGATGCACAACAATTATACTAACAATTTTAGGGTAGCAGTTGTAGAATGTTGAAATCTGCAACCTCTGCAGTTGTGGTTGAAATGTGTTTGTAGGAAAATAATATTTTGGATTCAGTAGGGGCTAAGTCTTGGGTAATCATCCCCACCTTCCCAGAATTGTTGAACTGTAATTTCTCTTGTGCCCAGTTAATATATTTAATAACCAAGCAGGCTGGAAAAATCTGGGAGTTTGGATCCAATTTATCTATAAGGGCAGCAAGCCGGAGAAGGATTAGTTAGAAAGATATCAATTTTAAATTCTGAGAATGTATTTCAGTGAGTTTCTGCTTTGATGTTATGCTCAGAAGATAGGCCTTAGAAACAGAATAATAAAAATGTTTTGGGCTTGGATGCTACAACTTGAGAATATCAGTTGCTCCATTGGTGTTTGCTGTCGTAAGTGGTTATTAAGACAAAAATATGGCATGCCAAAGATGGTTATGGAAATCTAAGCATAAAGACAGGTTTGGGGGAATGTGGGCCTTACCTGCCTAATGCATGATGCACTTCTTTGGATCAGAGCTAACAAGTTTCCTGGCAAAGCATTGCTAAAAGTGAAATATATTCTTCACTTTTAAATCAGATGATTTGCAGGGCCTTTCAAAAGCAAGAAGTTCCTGGAGCAAGCAAAAATTGAGTGACTCTCTTTGGATATTTTAATATTTCTGTATTGTATTGCTTTTAATTAAGAGGGTTCTTGTTGCACATTTAATAAATTCATTATTCCTAGTGAAGAATTAATTTTGCTTATCTTTTGGATCGATAGATGTTGATCTTTCTTTTTATCATGGAACATGGATTTATGACTCCCCACTGACCAACCTATCACTGACACACTTTCTTCTAGATTTATGGCTACCAATGATTTGATGATGGAACTACAGAAAGATTCCATAAAGCTAGATGAAGACAGTGAGAAAAAGGTTGTGAAAATGCTCCTAAAATTGCTTGAGGATAAAAATGGAGAAGTGCAAAACCTGGCTGTCAAATGGTAAGATTTTTTTTTTTTTACATGAGCTATAAGAAAACACTACATGGCTCTGGTTGGATCCAGTTGAAATACTCTTGTCAAGTTCTGGGCAGTTAAAAAAAAGATAGTGACAAATTTCTACCATGGCCCCCTACTTTCTGAAACAATACTCCCTCTGAGATACAACACCCTTTCTCTGAAAGGATTTCTGATCAGGTTTTGAGTCCAGGCCTGTGGTGAATGTATCTGTGGGGCCTCTGGTCTAATTTATTATCATTATTAAATCTGTGGTGGTTTACATTTTTATTGTTTTTGTATTTGTAAGCCATCCAGAGTTAACTGCAGCGGGGTGGCTGTAATACAGTTTAAAATAATAATTTACTTGGAATAAGTCCAGAGGAGGACTACCGAGACGATCAAGCATTTAGAATCCAAGCTTTATGATGAACAATTATTTTGGGAAAAGCAGTGGATCCAACAGACATATTTTACTGTATCTCTATGGTTTGTTCAGTATTTGCTGGTGATTGCCAGCAGTTCGATTCTCACTGGCTGAAGAGTAGACTCAGCCTTCTATCCTTCTGAGGTGGGTAAAATGAGGATCCAGATTGTTGGGGGCAATATTGCTGACTCTGTAAACTGCTTAGAGAGGGCTGTAAAGCATTGTGAAGCGGTATATAAGTGTAAGTACTGTTGCTATTTGATGGGCTTACTCAGGGATGGAATTTTGAAAGAGTACAAAACCTAGTTTGTTTCAAAACCTGTCACCTCCCTAAGAATGATAAGACGGCAGACTTCAGCAGACTTGCAGAAATTGAGGAGAAGACCTTGGAAAGGGGAGGAAAGTAAACCCAGTGTGACTGATCAGTCACTTTGTATAGCACAACTTGCACATGAAAAAGCCAGATGCCCTCCATTTAGGAGCAAAACAAAACTCAGTGCTAGACGCAGAAATATTGACTAGGCATTGAACAACGAGGGTTATGCTGTTACAATTTTCCGCTTACTTGTGGATGGGTACTTAACCGTTAAAACAGAATAATGGGGAAAGGTCCTTAGTAAAGTGTTGATATAAGCTGTTGGATAAAGGTTGGGGACCCAGGATTAGGATCTGAAAAAGGCTAAGATATGAAGTTATTTTGAAAAGACTTCTAAAAATGGTGTCTTCTGTCTCCTTCTACAACAAGGGTCTTCAAACTTGGCAAGTTTAAGACTTGTGGACTTCAACTCCCAGAATTCCTGAGGTAACATAACTGGAGGGGGAATTCTGGGAATTGAAGTCCACAAGTCTTAAAGTTGTCAAGTTTGAAGACCCCTGTAAGAACTTCAATTTCACACCATGCAGGTCTGGTTTCTTTTCTGTGGCTTTGCTGCTGATTAGCCAACAGGGTCATATCAGGGAAGAAAGCAGCCAGGTTATCTTTCATCTTGACTCAAAAGGCAGCAGAGACTCGCTTAAAGTGCCGAGCAAGATGGATATATTTTCAAGAGACCAGTTTGATGCTAAAACCTTTCCTGGGGTATAGGCTTCCATAGCAAAGGATAACTCATATCTCTTGACCATTACTTGTATTGTGAAAGGTATATGTTGGCTGAGAGACATCTGCGCAAGACAGGAAGAGGCAGGTTGGTTTGAATTGCATTAGAACTCCTATCTTCTCTGAGGAAGGTCTTTTTTTAATATAGGATTTCTTTCTTCCTCCCCAGCTTGGGTCCTTTGGTGAGCAAAGTGAAAGAATATCAGGTGGAAACGATTGTTGATACACTGTGTACAAACATGCTGTCAGATAAGGAACAGCTTCGGGATATTTCTAGCATTGGGTTAAAGACCGTCATTTCTGAGCTGCCTCCCCCATCTACAGGTAAAAAGCCTTGACTCTCTGTTCAAACAATGAGGCTGGTTCTTCCTTTGCAGTCAGTCTGTAAGAATGAATGAACCAGCCTGCCAACCTCCAAATGTGATTGGGAAGCTATGCTGGGTGGAGTTTGTTTTGTGGGATTTATTTTCCAAATGCTGTGATTATTAAAAAGAAAAATGTGCATACCTGGACTGTAGAGGGTGGTTGTTTTTTTTTAAAAAAAGAGTTTCATGCTGAGACTGACAGTGAATATCATTAGAAATGTAAGCAAGGAAGCATAAATGAAATAAAATTCACAGTTTGCAGATTACTACTGACCTTGGTCTGAAGAAAATGCCAAGGTGAAATTATTTATAAAAGATGCAAATGTTGCTCTGGTGATTTATCTAGGCAGATGCAAATGTAAATTTAATGAGATGATCACTGTCTGCTTGAAGTCCCTTTCATCAGAACAATGCCCTGTCAATACATACATGCAAGCTGTGGTCTTGACAATACAAATAATCTGTTGTTTGCCATTGTGATTGAAAGGATGCTACATGTGCGTTCCTGGCAGAAGGCCTTTCCTTTCTCATTATAGACAAAGAACTTGTTTTTCGACAGTAGTGATGGGAGGATTCTGGAAAACAGACTATTTTCTAAGCAAACAAGCAAAGATGTTTCTTTCAATGCCCCTTTCCCATAATCATTTTAGGTAGTTCTTTCACAAATGGACTTAGCTTCACGCTGACTTAGCTTTTCGCTTGATGAACATTGGAACCAAATCCTACCAAATTCATCAAATAAGGTCATCACATCAGAACTTTTTCTTTTAATTTACTATTACTATTATTACTATTATTATGGATTTATTTTATTTTATTTTTATTGTTGCTTAAATTTGACACGAGTAATGCTAACAAAGTTAATTAGCTCTGGTAATCATGAGTACGAAATCTAAACTTGGAAATTCACAAAGGTAATATGTAAATATGTTACATATTACCTTTTATATATTTACCACTAATATGTTAAATGTTCACCTCCAATATAGCATTTCTGCTTATTATCTCATTCAGGCAGCAAATCATGTAAGTAGTTTTTGACACCTTCTGAAATAACCAGATCTTGACAATGTTTTGGAGGATAATGAAGAAAAGGGTCACTCTTGCCTCAAGGAGAAATTGTTCCATAGGAGAGGAGTACCTAGGGTTATGGCTGAAGAGAGGGAGAAGGATCAGAACCTGGGTCCCCCAATATGGTACCTGAGTGCCATTGTGCCTACAGACACCTTCCTTTGTCATTGCACTTGACTTTCTATGTGTTCAGAGAACAGGAAGCTGCGATGCTGCAAAAAAGAAATACCTTGGCCTCTGATAGCATCATCAGTCCCAAACATTTCCCGTGATTCCTGTGGATCTTATAATTTTTCTCAACAGACCAAAATGATGATTGGCTGTAGTTCAGGGCAGTTTAGAACTGTGTCCTCCTGCCCTCAGCAGAGGAAGCAGGAATAGAAAGAAGCTTCCTGGGAGAGAATTGTTTGAAGCATGAAGCAGTAGTAGGTAGCATAGGAACATTTGGTCCATCTACATTTTGTACCTGGTCATGTCCCAGTGATATCTATGATTGTGAGTAAAAATCCTCAAAGCAGATGCCACTGGGATATAAGCAGATCTTTTTTGAGAATACTGACAGAATGTATTCCAAAGTCCAAATAGGCCCATCAGCCCTAAAACATTAGTGACTCTGGAGTAAAATCTATGCAATACACACTAACAGTAATGTTTGGATCACTGAAATCTTGTGCAAAACATCTAGCAAATGTTTCTCTAATTTTAAAGAATAAAATTGTAATAATTGCGTGTTATGCTGCCTTTTTCTAACTTCCACAGTTCTTAAACGGCATAGTTCTTGGTTGCATTGACTGAGGAATTTGGGAATGTAATTGTTCTGTCTTTAGACTGCTGGCTGAATATAAAGACAGACAGACAACTCTACAAAGGCTTCCATACAACGTTTCTTTATTGGGTCACCAGGCATCCTCAAATATAACTCATGATTATGTCGAGATCCATCTAATGTCTAATTCTTTGCATAGCTGACTTCATAGTGTAAAATAATAGTGATCTTTCATCCCATAATGAAGGAGCAAGGGGGTGAGACACCAGCACGCTGCTGGGGTCCAGGCAAGAGTGAAGGAACCTCCCCCAACCCAACCAAGGGTCAATTCAGTGACCAATCAGGATTACAGATGTGACCATATGACATGAACTACATTTCCCAGGATGCATTAACTACATTTACCATGAGGCATACCCTTAAAGGGACAGTTCCCAATTCTAACTTAACTAACTCAATTCCCATTACTTATATACTGTCTGGACAGCACAGTAATCCTTACCTGCCTGGAGGGTGTCATTTTGGAGAAGACTGATATAACACGATGATACCATTGCTTGTGAACAGACTTGAACCCTTGCTAATTAAATTTGCTTGATCTGATCCGATTGTTTGCAATGATAAAAGCATTGTAAAACAGGAACAATTTTGTTGAAACCCTCACTCTTTTTCTCTTCAAATTCCCACCTTCCCAGGTTCTACCATGACAGCCAACGTTTGCAAAAAAATCACTGCTCAGCTGACTGGAGCTATTGGAAAGCAAGAAGATGTGTCGGTACAACTTGAGGCCCTTGACATTTTGTCAGACATTTTGAGCAGGTACATTTAAACAAATTATTTTTCAACAATGTTGTTTCAAAAAGCTTTAAAATGTTCTTGCCTGGTATGAATTCTAAAAATTGACGTCCACACATCTTAAAGGTGGCGAAACACTACTTTAGATAAAACGGACTCTAACAGCAAACTACCAAAGGTCCTTGAATTACTGGAATGCAGCACACACAAATGACAAATTTATCCCTTTTGCTTCTAAGTCAAAAAGCCCAAGAGAGCCAAATAGCTAAATCTTTGAGTCAAGGTGGCTTTCCCCATCACTGGTCCTTTGAGATTAAACAGCCAGGAGTTGTTGAAGCTTCTGTTCTTAGATTCATCTCGAGAGAGGAACATCTTAGCAGAAAGAGGATGGTAGGGGAGAATATGAGCTGCCCTGCCTTATTAAGTGGGATCCTTCCAGGATTCAGGAAGTAAAATTTAAGAAACAATAAGTAATCAGAGAAAGTATGTTAGAGATTTTAACTTTATTTTAGATAAATCTTGCCCCCTTCTTTAAATATTGAGGGTTGGTTTCCATTTTTGATGAGCCTCTATATTGTGCCTTTACTTGCACTTGGTTGGTCTTAAATTGTGATTCCTTTTTCTGTAAGCTCTCCCCACCCCCCACCCCCACTAAGCTTAATATCTATCCATGGTTCTCTTTGCTGCTTCATGTTTGTAATAAACTAAACACTCTTTTAAACAGGCATCTGAGTGCCAATTTATGTTTGGGAGTCTGTGACCTGATAACATACCTCAAAACAGGGGTGGTATTCTACTGGTTCGGCCCGGTTCTATAGAAGAGCAGCTGACACCGAGCCAGTTCTCTCTGAAGATCTTCTTTTCTCAGTTGGGCCCACCCACCCACCCAGGCTCTAGGCTGTCCTTTATTCTTACCTGAGTTGCTTTGCGCGGCACAGCTGAGTGCTGCGTGTCAGCAGCAGGTGGTGATTGCTTGCAGGAGAAGTTGTTTTACAAGTACTGTGCACGCTCACACACAAAGCGGGCACTCACCTAACCGGTGGTTATGCCAGTAGGATCCTACCCCTGCCTCAAAAGACGTAGGCCTGTAAATACTAATTATTAGAACAGTGACAATATTTTCTTGGAAAATAGCTTTATTTTTCTGAAAAAGGGACAAATCTGAAAGAGATTCACAAGGATAAAAAATTGTTTATGTTTATGACTTTATTTTATAAAGGAAAATTCAGAAAATAAAAAATTAAATACATCTAAAAGACAGTTTTCTGAGATAAATCACTCTCTTTTCTAAGAAAGGAGATATGGTTACTGCATCTACCAGGGGTCTTAAATGACCCTGGGGCCCTTTCAGGGAAGAGGAAAGGGAACACGTCGTCCTTCTTATAGTCTTGCTTATATCCCTGAAAGGAGAAAGGAAAGAAAGGAAGCAAAGAGACAAAAGACAGCGTACAATTACATCTAATCTAAAACATAAATCATGGAAGAAAAGTGGAAAAAATGTATTGCAGTGGCTTGTCTTCAGGAAATTAACCGTTAAGTCCATCTCTGTTTGGAGAACGTTTGGTTGATATGAGTGTTGTCTGTGGTTTCAGACTAGGGGGAACTCTGTACTCCTTCCATTCTTCTATCCTGAACTGCCTCCTTCCTCAACTGATGAGTCCCAGGTTGGCCGTTCGGAAGAGAGCCATCATTGCCATAGGTCACCTGGTCTTGACATGCAATGGGAATATCTTTGCAGAGCTTATGGAACATCTCTTGTCAGAGCTGAGGAGGAATAATTCCACTTCTACTACAAGGACATATATCCAGTGTATTGCTGGTATCAGCAAGCAGGCTGGACACCGCATAGGCAAGTCTTGTGGATTTGGATTTTTATCTTGTTTCTGACCTGCGGTGACTGTTACCACCACTGTTGTTTGATGCCCCTTGTTTATCCCTAGAAACTCCCTCCAGCCCTGCCTTGCATTTTTAATAAGACGTGCACCTTATTCTTTCTTTAGTGCCTATTTTGCCCTGAATATCTACTGTTGTAGAAAATGTTTGGAGTTCCTTAAAGGGCAATTTTAGTTTGGAACTGTGGCCTAAATAATTCTCCATAGATGGGCCTCCTACATAATTAATATTCATGCTTATTCTAATAGGCTACAAGCTAAGAACAGAAGCGAAGAAGGTGTTCCCTATTAAGGGCATCTCCAGAATAGATCCATCCAAGTGGTTCATATCTTTCAGCCCAACCAGGGGTTATAGGGAAACTCTTCATTTGGAAAATGGTAGGGTTTAAGAACATTAATGGGTGATTTCACAAGGGGGACTAAAAGAAGTTTCCTTTCTCTGCTATTGACACTATTTTCTTGGGTGCCTTGGGTCTTGTGGCTTTTACTGTCCAAAATACAAATTCAGACTGCCTACTTGGATATTGACATAGGCTTTTATGTCAGAGGAATTAAATCGTATTTTTTGAAATGGCAGATGCTCCTTCCAATGCTGCTTTGTAGAGCAATAGAAGAACACTGTGGTGGATTTGCTATGCCACCACAACTTCCACATTTTGACTGAAACACCAATATATTGAGTTCATCAGGCAGCTCTAAGTAAGAAGGATATCTCTTTAACAAAACAGAACCTGAACAGGCATTCTTTTCTTTTGTGATACTCCTTGCAATACCTTTCCTGTGAGGTAGATGGGCCCATGTCTACCTTTGCTTCAAATGGCTATGTACTCAATGGGCCCCAATTGTTCAGTGCAGTGATCCCCAACCTTTTTTATGCCGCGGCCCGGTACCGGCATCAGCTGGGCGCCGCGGCCCGGTACCGGCATCAGCTGGGTGCCGCCATCTTTTTTTGATGAAAAAGTGCTTCCGGAAAGCTACCCGGAAAAGCTCACCGGAAGCACTTTTTCATCAAAAAAAGATGGCGGCGCCCAGCAAACCAGCGGCCCGGTGGGACTTGTTCCACGGACCGGTACCGGACGGGTGGTTGGGGACCCCTGGTTCAGTGGATCTGCGCAAGTATTTTGTGGATCGCTTACTCTGTCTCTGTCTTTTAGGGGACTACCTAGAGAAGATGATCCCATTGATAATTCAGTACTGCAATGTAGAGGATGATGAGCTGAGGGAATATTGTTTCCAAGCCTTTGAGTCTTTTGTAAGAAGGTTTGTACCTTTTACTCAAGTGTTGTATACAGCTGACTTTGCTCTCATGTTCTTTTGTTCTAACTGTTAGAAGGAAATCTTTTTCTTTTGTCACCTGTTGTTTGCAACAGAAACCAGGGCTATCTGCTCCAACTATCTGTGCTTGATTAGTTACCAGAAACGTGCAGTTTTGTCTGTAGGTGTCATGGCTTCCATGGGTGATGGATCTGTATCTGCTAGAAGAATGACCTATCTCTAAGCAAGGGCCTGTAAGGAGTAAGAAGACTCATATGAGCTTTTATGTCAGAGAAATTAAATCTTATTTTTGATACACCGGATGTTCCTTCCAGTGATGTTTTGTAAAGGAAGAAGAACACTGTGGTAGATTTGCTATGCCACCACAACTCCCACATTTTGATTGAAACACCAATATATTGAGTTCATCAAGAAGCTCTAAGTGAGAAGGACATCTCTTCAACGAAACAGAACTGAACAGACATTCTTTTGAGTTTGGGCAAGTCTGTTGCATCTCTTATCACTTTATTGAATCAAAAACAACTTTTCATAGGGTGATATGGGATCAACTGGACAAATCCAGGAAAATTTGCAGTAAGGTTATGGAATAGTCCACCGTGCTCCATATTCTCTTTTCTTCCAAATTTGAATTGCTGTAGACTCCTGATAAAGAGCTCTCAGCTAGTGACTCAGGAGAATTGAAATTATAGTTTTCTGCAACCAGGATTTTTGAGATTGTTACTTTTTAAAATAGGATTTTAACTTTTTTTTTAAAGCCTGATAGTGAAGAAACAAAGGGGATATTTCTCTTAGGGTGAATAAGTGTAAATTGGATAATGAGGGCTGAAACATGATTGTTGCCAGGAAGAGCAATATGATTAGATTAGCTGCTTGTCCTGAATCTTCCCTGGATCATGTTTTTATGGGACCCCCAGATTTCAGATATATTTCAGTAGAATTATTCAGATTGCCTGGATAGTTTTTTTAAAAATAAACTTTGATAAGAAGCTTAAACAAAAATAAGTGAAACATTACCTGGTGATGGTTATATGTGTATGACTCCCTATTTGTAAACACTTAAAACTACAACACAAAGCATTGGGAAGTATGCTGATTTTTAAAAAATGATGTATCATTGTGTGCTGAAGCCAGGGATCATCTTTAGAGGTGAAATGTCAGTTAACTGTATGAAAAACATGAATTAAACATTATATTCTATGCTAATCTGTGATTACCTTGCTGTTTCTAAAGGTGTCCAAAAGAAATTGGCCCTCACCTTCCTAATGTGACAGGATTGTGCCTCAAGTACATAACATATGATCCAAATTACAACTATGATAATGAAGAGGAGGATGAAGATGAAATGATGGAAACTGAAAATGGAGAGGATGAGGAGCAAGGTGCTGCACAATTAGGATTATGATGGTCATTGATAAAGATGAATTGCCTCCACCACCAGTTCAGGCAGTTCTTTCAAACCAGTTTATTTCTTTCCCGAATTGATATTTCAGAGTTCAGAAGAGCATGTAAATTATACAGCCATCTCTGCTCAAAATCGATTAGTGAAAAGTCTCAAAAATGTGGCCAGATAGAAATCTAGTGCATCTAAAGAAAGAGTTTGAAAGAGTAGGTAAGAGTAGGTGATAACACTTGTGGGATCTCAAGTTTCTATATGTTGATAAAGGTTTCTGAAGGTACTGTTCATGTCTATTCTATTATCAATCTCTGCTATGAATCTTCCTTAAATCGGAAAAGCACTGTGATCTGACTTGACTAGAATCATTGCTGCCACCCATTCCCGCTCTCCCTGACCTGGTGTTTTCATGGTCCAATCTCTTCTTGAGACTTTCAAGAAGAGATTGGACTGCCATTTGTCAGAAATGGTGTCGGGTCTCCTGCTTGGGCAGAGGGTTGGACTAGATGACCTATAAGGTCCCTTCCAACTCTGATGATCTGTTATCTGTTATGGCTATTGTTGCTTGCATGTGGAAAAAGCAAAAGCAAGAAGGCCTGTCCTGGTATAGACCAACTACCAGTTAGCCTTGCCCTTTCTGTAGTTGATGTTACTAGCAATTGGTCTGTGCAACCTAAAGAAGACTTAAGGCGATTTCCTCTTTCCAGTCTAAATGTGTAGAATGAAATACAGGTAGTCCTTGAGTTCATTTAGTGACCGTTCAGAGTTCCAACAGCACTGAAAAAAGTGATTTACGACCATTTTTCACAGTTACAACCATAGCAGCATCCTCATGGACATGTGATCAGAATTCAGATGCTTGGCAACTGGTTCATACTTACGACCACTGCTGTGTCCTAGGATCATGTCATCCCCTTTTGCAAACTTTTGAAAAGGAAAATCAACAGGGAAGCCAGTGTCACTTAACAAACGCGTTACTAGATTTGTCGACGGCAGTGATTCACTTAACGGGGGCAGGAAAAGTCATTAAATGGGACAAAACTCACTTAACACATGTCTCACTTAACAACATAAATTTGGGGCTCAATTGTGGTTGTAAGGACTGCCTGTAACTCAGCATGGCTCTTTGTTCTCGTCATTCTAAGGTGAAAATGCAGCTTTCACATGAGCCAAAGGTTGCATTTGAGGTTGGACTGCCATGCTAGTTAGATTTGAGCTACGCTTCCATAATTAAAAGAATCCGGGATAAAATCAAGATGGGATTAATTTATCATTTATTTGAAACCATTGTGTACTCCTTTCTCTCAGATCTTTCCCACCAGAAGTACTTACAGGTCCTCATCTTGTTAATGTTTCAGAAACCCAGTATTTCTATTTTTATATGAATCTTTGGCTGGCTATGGAGTATGTGTTTTGAGTTTGTTTTTGCTTTTGATAATGATTTAGTGGAAGGCAAGTTCTCTTTTTTTGTCATTTAATGCTGTCAGGAGTCCTTCATAATTTGGGCAGGTTGTGAATTCATACATCATATTAATACGGCTTTACATCCTACTCAAAGCTGAATGAGGCGAGCTGAATGAGATCCATGAAAGCGTTATGTGAGAATTTGACCCACAGTCAACTTGTAAAATAGTCGCTGCTGAGTTTTCATGTGAAAGAGGAAAAAAAAAAACCGAGTTCTATCTACAATCCCTGTCAATAACAATTCTCCTTCATTCCTCCTCAGAAAGTGATGATGAGTATAGCGATGACGATGACATCAGCTGGAAAGTTCGTAGATCTGCTGCAAAGTGCCTTGAGGCCATAGTCAGCACCAGACACGACCTTCTGCAGGATTTCTACAAAACTCTGTCTCCGGCTTTAATAAGCAGGTTCAAGGAAAGGGAAGAGAATGTTAAGGCGGACATCTTCTCAGCCTATATATCTTTACTGAAGCAAACTCTGCCCATTCAGAGTTGGCTACAAGCTTCGGATGAAGCAGGCAAGGAGGACATACCTCTTACCATGCTACAGAACCAGGTGAGTTGACCTTAATCACACGTCACTGTTTGTCATGATATAGATGCAACTAACTGGTGTTTTGAAACAGTTTCACCTCCTCAAAATTGAGCTATTCTGTAAGGCAGGGGTGTCAAACTCAAGGCCCACGGGCCAGATCCGGCCTGTGGGCCTGCCCTGGAAACTGCAAAGGACCGGCCCATGGTGCCTCTGCCAGTCAAAACGGAGCTCGGGAGAGCCATGCGCGGGCCTCCCGTGCTCAGTTTTTGGCCACGATGGCCTCCTGCAGCCCTCTGCCCGTGAAAATGAGCTTGGAGTACAGTAGAGCTCTGTTTTCACTGGCAGAGGGCTTCAAGAGTCCGTCGCGGCCAAAAACAGAGCCTCAATTAGTGACATCAAGCTGGCCACGCCCCTCACCGCCACCCCAGATGTCAAACACAACCTTGATGCGGCCCTCACTGAAATCAAGTTTGACACTCCTGCTGTAAGGTATCTGGGCTCTTTCATGATGTCTCGTGAGGTTTTGATCCTTGGATCGTTCTTCGATGGACTCAATATTATGCAGCTACTTGAAAAGGTTACTGCCTCTTGTCCTGTTTGGTATTCTGAAGGATAAAAGGAGCTTTAGCCTTCCTTTGGAGTTGATTTTATGATTTCATCCAGCCAGTAAAGTTGTCTGCAGTAGCCTAGCAGATCTCAGTGTCAATATTTGTAGGCCTCGTCACCTGTCCAGAGTTGGTTTTGTTGCTTATTTGTCATGACTTTTACATCGATACTCTGGGTTGCTGAAAAACTTTCTGCACCAGTTCTAAATCCGTAGCCATCCCAACAAGATTAGGTCGGAGGTAAGCTTATGTAAATAAACCCAGCTGTGTAGTAATGATCTGCTCAGTGTATTTGACCACTCGGTCCTGATTTTGGAGACCATGGTGACTTGCCTGCTCATTAAACATAATGAGTGCTTAAGTAAAGGTCCAACTAATTGTTAGAAATAGCTACAGAGATCACTGGAGTTGCGGTAGAGTGAGGCGAGGGTGGGATGGAGGTGGGCTATATATTTAAATAAAACAATGAGCTATTGAAGATTATTTTTTTGCCTAAAGGGAAAAATATACTGTTAATTTCTCCACTTTAAAAAATGATTTTGTACACCTCTAATTCTTCACTTATACCTGCAAACATTTTCCACATAGATCCAGTTTCCCTTTTGTACTAGATAATTAATGTTCACTTGGATTTTCAGTTCTTTTGGCTTTGAATCAGATTACCGATGAGCTGCTTTCTGATCGCATAGGTTCCAAATATTATCAAAGCTTTGCACAAGCAACTTAAAGAGAAGAGCGTCAGATCAAGACAAGGGTGCTTCACTCTTTTGACGGAACTGGCGAATGTCCTCCCTGGTTGCCTTGCGGATCACATACCTGCTCTAGTGCCGGGTAAAGCTTGTCTTTTGACTAAACAGTCACAGGGCAATTTTCAGCAAGGGTCACTTTTCATTTTCGTTTTCATTTTCATTCATTCTTCACTTTTGATATTAAGAGCGGTAGTGGCGCAGCGGTTAGAATACAGTATTACAGACTAACTCTGCCCACAGCTTGGAATTCCCATCCGGTTGGGGCTCAAGGTTGACTCAGCCTTCTGTCCTTCCGAGGTTGGTAAAATGAGGACCCAGATTGTTGGGGACAATATGCTGGCTCTGTAAACCACTTAGAGAGGGCTGTAAAGCACTGTGAAGCGGTATGTAAATCTAAGGGCTATTGTTGTGCTATGAAGCCAAGAGATAAATCATAAAGCAATTTCTTTTCCACTTGTATTTTCTTCTTCATATTCAAGACTATCTTCCTGTTGCTCTATACCAGGGGTGTCAAACGCCCGTGGGGTACTTAGATCTGGCCCTCGGGGCCACCCTGGAAACAGCAAAGGAGTGGCCCTCGGTGCCTCTGCCAGTGGAAATGGAGCTCCTGAGCTCTGTTTTTGCTGGCAGAGCACTTGGCCCACCACAGGCGCCCCAGGCACGAATGACTTTGAGCTGGCCACGCCTACACTGTCCCTCCCCAAGATCAAACACAACACCCTGATGCAGCCCTCAATGAAATTGAGTTTGACACCCCTACTCTATACGCATCAGAAGATGTTATGCCATTGGTTTAACTGAGGCCAGTGGCTGCAGACACTGACTGGGTCTTTTTCTTCTTTAAAAAAAATTGATGTGAGCAGCCGAAGACTGGCTGAATTGTACATCTGTTTAATATCCATATATTATTGTACTTTGTTTCTGTTTTTTTTTTTAAGCCAGTATTCTACAGAATTCTGTCAATCGAGGTACACTATTTTGCTGTGGGAAATACTGGAACGTGTAAATTTTACTGGAGAATATCATTTGTTCTTCTTAATTTGTGGTCTCATATTGGCTTCTGTTGAAATGAATGGGAAAGTGACTAACTGGGGTTTATTCTGCCATCTGCATTTTCTCAAAATATGAAGAGAAAATTATACTGGTATTTTAAATCCATATGATCTTTGGTTATTTGCAGTTTTTCTTTTGTTGTAATTCTCTATTCCTAGGTATGTTATATAAAATAACTGTAAAATGCTGCAGCGGTTTTCCACCAAACTGATTTTATCTTAAACTTGGAGTAAACACTTACATGCAAATGTACAACACAAACTATTTGATTGTAATAGCACTTAGACTTATATACTGCTTTACAGCCCTCTCTAAGTGGATTACAAAGTCAGACTATTGCCCCCAACAATCTGGATCCTCATTTTATCGACCTCGGAAGGATGGAAGGATGAGTCAACCTTGAGCCTGGTGAGATTTGAACTGCCAAATTGCAGGCAGCCAACAGTCAGCAGAAGTAGCCTGCACTACTTCACTCTAACCACTATGCCACTGTGGTTAGACCGATAACTTTTCCAAATAGACCTTGTAATTAATAACCACTTTCTGAAGTCAGTGAAGTCTTTTGAATCCTAGCAGCCGTGTGTAAGAGCTGTAAAGTTTTTAAAAATAAATTGGAACCACTCATTAATCAGTTTGAAGATGCTGTGAATTGTATCCAGTGGTATCTGTCTACTGGTGTTGTAGATACCAGCAAGGAAATAGATCCCTATTTGCAGTGTAATCTCACGCAGGTACCCTAATCTGTTATTTATTTATTAGATTTTTTTAAAAAAATAAGGTGACCACAAAAGGGTTTTTTTTGACAGCCTACCATGCTGCAGAAGTTTGGGGAAATCCTCTATAGCAGGTCACATGGGAGGTGCAGAGTATGAAGACAGGAAATTCTGTTTTGATTGGGCTGGGTGAGGTGCAACTATAAAGCAAGCTGACCAATGTTTTCTTGGCACAGGTATTGTCTTCTCCTTGACGGATAAATCCAGCTCCTCCAATATGAAGATAGATACTCTGTCTTTCCTTCATGTTGTTCTCTGCAACCACCCCCGAGAAGTGTTCCATCCCCATGTTAAATCCCTGCTGCCCCCAGTGGTGATTTGCATTGGGGATCCTTTTTACAAGATAACTTCTGAAGCTTTGCTGGTGACTCTACAGCTTGTGAAAGTCATTCGTCCCTTGGATGCCCCTTGTACGTTTGACGCCAAACCTTATGTGACAGACTTGTTTTCTGCAACGTTGAAGAGGCTGAAGGCGGCCGACATTGATCAGGAGGTGAAGGAACGGGCTATCTCTTGCATGGGGCAAATCGTTTCCAATCTGGGGGACTACTTAAGTAGCGAACTCCAGGCAACCCTGAAGATTTTTCTTGAGAGACTGAAAAATGAAATAACTAGACTGACTACGGTCAAAGCACTGACTCTGATTGCAAATTCCTCACTCAAAATAGACCTGAGGCCCATTCTAGCAGAAGTCTTTCCCATCTTGGCTTCCTTCTTGCGTAAGAATCAGCGTGCCTTGAAACTGAGTACTTTGACTGCTCTGGACATCTTGATCCGAAACTATAGCGATAGCCTCAAGCTAGCCATGATTGAATGTGTTCTAATGGAGCTTCCGGATTTGATTAGCGAGAATGATATGCACGTCTCTCAGGTGGCCATTGTGTTCCTTACCACTTTAGCTAAGGTTTATCCCTCATCCTTGTCCAAGATCAGTGGTACAGTTCTGTCAGAGCTTTTCCAGCTGGTTTACTCACCTTTGATGCAAGGAGGGGCCCTGAATGCCATTGTAGACTTCTTCCAAGCACTGGTTCTGATCAAGGCGGTCCACATGAGCTATGCTGACCTGATGAAGCAGCTAACTAGTCCTATATACTCCTCTAGCGGAGTCTCCACCACTTTGCACAAGCAGGCTTTTCACTCCGTTGCCAAATGTGTGGCGGCCCTTTCTTCCGTGTGTCCAAAAGAAATCCCTGGCCTAGTAAGCCTGTTCATTCAGGATGTGAAGAACCCAAAGTCTACCACTGCTGTCAAAATGTTGGCGTTCCTCTCCCTCGCGGAAATAGGCTGCACCACCAATCTGAGCGCTCAGAAGGAACTCAAAGCGGTGATCTTGGATGCGTTTGCCTCGCCCAGCGAAGAGGTGAAATCGGCGGCGTCCTACGCTTTGGGCAACATCAGTGTGGGCAACCTGAAAGAGTACCTTCCCTTCATGCTGAAGGAGATTGGTGGCCAGCCTAAGCGGCAGTACTTACTGCTTCACTCCCTGAAAGAAGTCATTAGCTCCTCCCCAGCAGAGAGCTTGAAACCTTATGGGGAGGACATATGGGCCCTGCTTTTCAAGCACTGTGAATACACAGAGGAAGGGACCCGCAATGTTGTTGCTGAATGCTTGGGGAAATTGACTCTAGTAAACCCTTCTCAGTTGCTGCCCCGGCTGAAAAAACAGCTGTTCTCAGGTAAGGGAAGGGAAAGGATATGACTGAGGCAATTGCTCAGCTGAGGGGAGGTTGCACTTTGAATCTGTACTGTACTAATGTGCTGTAGACCTGTGGAATGCTGTAGTGCATGTTTATCTTCCAATGTTCACCCTTAACAAGCTGTTTTTGGGAGGGTGTTTGTATTCCCCTCAGGGTCCTTTCTAGAAGATCCTGCCCCGTTCATGTTGTAGACACCATTTTAATGTACTTCCTGGTTGAAAAGATTAGCAATGACATCACCGTTGTCCAGGGGATGCCTGTGGAGGCTCCTTTCATATCTCCATCAAGGAGCTGGAGCGAATGATGGGAACTCATCCTGCCACACACAGCAGCAATCGTATCTCGAACACTGGCTTTCTAACCTCCAACCAAGCGTCCTTAACATGCGAGCCACTGTGTTCCCTCCAGAAGATGAGCGCTATAAAAAGAGAGCTCAGAATAATTTCCACACGGTGCATGCTGGGTTTGTTTGTGCTTCTTCATTATTATCAGTGTTCTGGAAACGATGAAGAAAAGCTATCTTAAGGGGAGAAAAGGGGGTTAGAAATGATCTGTGTTCTTTTCAAGATAAATAATTTCCCCCCACTTCTCATTGTAGGCTCCCCCTATGCTCGGAGTACAGTGGTGACTGCAATAAAATTCACCATCTCGGATCACCCACAACCCATTGATCCCCTTCTTAAAGGATGCATAGGTAATTTTGACTTTTGATAAGAGACTTTGGAAGTCAGTATAGCGGGCCTTGTTAAATTAAAAAAAAATACAGAGTAGAATTAATGGAAAAGAGAAATGACCAAAATAATTAATTGCTATAAGAATGTGATCTTTAACTTTACCCGGAAGTGCTTGGCTTTGCTCTCATTGTTGCGTCCATATCCATCCAACCCTTTCCTGTTTGAATCTGAGAAGTTGTTCAAATTCTAAATGTTATCTGATGTCAAAATGAATTAGGTGGGGAACAAACAAGTGGAAGTTGAATCCAAAGAAAGAGGTGCTTCTCACCAGTTAAAACAGGAAATATATAATGGATGATGTTACTCTTTTTTTAAAATTTAATTTAATCAAGAAACAAAATCCAAGCAGATCTTTAACTGATTCCATTTTCATTAAATATATTGACGTGCCATTTCCACAATGAGCTGAATACACATTTGTTATCTAAAATAGAGAATGGTTTTGTTAAATATGTTTAGATCATCTGAATTGTTTCCACATTGCTATCTTTAAAGTACCTGATTCTATGGCTGAGTCTAGATGTTAATAAAACTTGAATATTGATGCAGATACTAGGGAATAAATGACAGAATAGGCTGTCCATTTGATTTCCCCTGCCTTGTTTGAAAATTTGATTTTTTTAATCTTCGTTCTGCTTTTTGAATATTATATGCATCCCAGAATGTATTTAAAGCTAGTGTTGCTGCCTCTTAAACTCTTGTGCTATTATCATGCAGGTGACTTCTTGAAACCTCTTCAGGATCCTGACTTGAATGTTCGCCGTGTTGCTTTAGCTATGTTTAATTCTGCTGCTCACAACAAACCTTCCCTAATCCGAGATCAGCTCAGTACAGTCCTACCCCACCTGTACAATGAAACCAAAATTAGAAGGGAGCTCATACGAGAGGTATGGACCATATTCCGTTTCAGCATTATCCCGTACTGATGTTGGGTCAGGTATAGGCAGTTATGGCCCCTTTATGATCTGTGAACATCAACTCCCATGTTGGCTCAGGAATTCTGGGAGTTGACATACACAAGACATAAAGGGGCCATAGTTTGATCCTTGAGTTGAGTGGTTCCCTCAGTATTCCTAACTTACTGTTGTTGTTTTGAATGATGGCCGGGGATAGTGCTGCACGACCAGATCAAATGGAGAATGATAAGCGACGTAGATGTATTGTTGGTGTGCGTGAATATAATTAAGCCAATGTTCTTATGAGACCTGAAAGTAAACCAATCCCACAAGTGTATGGAAATGATTACTGAACCTGTAATTTAAGGCTGTAAAATGGAATGCATTCAGCTGAACTTCAATTGGAAATGAACTGTGGCTTCACGCTGGGCCAGATCAGGTTGAAAGTTTTCCTTTTTTGAGAACTTCAAGCTACTTTGAATTTCCCCTTTTAGGTAGAAATGGGGCCATTCAAACACACAGTAGATGACGGGCTCGATGTGAGGAAAGCGGCCTTTGAATGCATGTACACACTTCTGGAAAGCTGCCTTGATCGGCTGGACATCTATGAGTACTTAAATCACGTGGAAGATGGCTTGAAAGATCATTATGATATCAGGGTAATTTTCTTTTTCATTAATTTTGAAGCTTCTAATTTCATTATTTCATTGAATTGTAGGGCTGTTTGGGATGAATCAGTTCCCCTCCCCCCCCCCCCCCCCGCACCAAACCCAGACTGTTCTTCCACAAAGACAATGCCCGAACTGGGAGATCCTATAAGAGCTAAATAATCCTCCTCCATGTTATTTTCTTTTGCCTTACCTTATAACTTAGAAGGAAGATCAATTCTTTTATATAGGAGGGAAGCTTTGTTGCAATGTTGTAAAGCAGTGGCCCCCAACCTTTTGGGCACCAGGGACCAGTTCTGCGGAGAAAGATTTTTCTGTGGACCGGGGGAGTGGGGCGGCGTGGTTTCACATGCTGCCTGCATCCCATAGATGGGGCTTCGTTTGTTTGTGCGGCCCAGTTTCTGGCATGCTTTGGCCTGGTGCCAGTCCAGAGACCAGGGGTGGGGGACCCCTTGACAACAGGGGTCCTGTTGTCAAGGGGTCCCCCACCCCTTTTAAAGGCAAAAGTTGTTACAATGAAAGGGGCCACGAGTTGGTGGAAATTATTACTGAAATACATGCTTGAAAAAAAAACACATGATGCTAATGTAAGCTTTTCCCTTTCTTCATTATGAAGATGCTGACCTTCATTATGTTGGCTCGCCTCTCAACACTCTGCCCCAATGCTGTCCTGCAAAGATTAGAGCGGCTTGTTGAACCACTCCGAGCAACATGTTCAACTAAGGTAATGCCCTGGGAAGCTTGAATGTATTTATATCTTGATAGCCCTACCTCTCTTTTTTTACCTGAGGTACCTAATTGTTCATATCCTAAGAGACAAGAGATTACTGTTGCAATAGAGTTACAATTGCAGCCCTCGACTTAACAACCATTCATTTAAGGACCATTCAAAGTTACCGCACTGAAAAAAGTGACTTGCAACTAGTCCTCGCATTTAAAACCATCGCAGCATCCTGTGGTGATGTGATTGCCATTTGTGACCCTCTCAGTCGGCTTCTGACAAGCAAATTTCATGGGGGAAGCCCAATTCATTTAATGACCGCATGGTTCGTTTAACAACTGCAACAGCAGTCATGGCAAAAAAATTTTTGACACAAAATCAGGCACGATGTACTTAATAACTGCCTTGCTTACCAATGGAAATTATGGTGCCAGTTATAGTTGTGAAAGTGGAAGTGACTGAAGCAATCTTAGCTGATTATCGGGGATGAGTTTCCCCTGATTGGCACTGAGGGAGAGTCCTCAAAACTCTGAACTCTGCTGTCTTCCGTTTTCAAGTAATGGGTCCCCTGGTTAGTCAGGAGGAGCAATGATTTGTGGCATGTAATCTGGTTCAAGTGGAGAGCAGGGTTGGTCCATGTGTTTTGAAGCAGTTGGGCCATCCCTCCTTAAGAAGCCATACTTGGATTCAATAGCGTTGGGACAATTTTGCCTCATCTCCAACCTTCCATTTTAAGTGAGAAAGTGGTAGGTGTGTGGCTTCAGGGCTTTTTGAAGTTTGTTAAGCCATTTTCAAGCTGGGTTGAAGTACCAAGATGGTATCATTCATGGTTGTGGTGCCCTTTGGAGGCCTCAAAGTGGAGGTGGTATACCCTTCCTTGCTCTCCTCCCTCTCAGCAGGTTTCCAATGCCATTGACCATGGTATCCTTCTTGATCGTCTTTGGGGACTTGGGTGTGGGGTTTTTTGTTTTGCAGTGGTTCTCCCTTCCCCAGGGCCGATTCCAGTAGGTGTTGGATGTAGAAGGAGCAACTCCAAACTTGGACCTCTCGTATGTGGGACATCTCAAGGCTTAATTCTCTCTATTCCCATTTACAATTTAAATGACCTCACCTTGCAGTTTTATCAGCACTGGGTGAAAAACCATCAATATGGTGGCGATACTATACATCTTCATCTCTACCTATATGAATGATGTGCTTGAGACTTTTACCCATTGTGATTGTGATGGGTTGTGACTCAACAAGACCAGGTGACTGGGTTTTTGCCCCCCTTGGATCTAATGTTTTTTTCATCTACAACTCTTGATGGGATTGCATTTCCCCAGCACTGCGCTTAGTCTCAGGTCCTTCTGATCTCAGCTCCTACTTGAAGAGTAGGTGATAACATGGCTAGGAATGGTCTTCGTAGATTTGTCTTGTGCACTACTTATGGATCAGGAGTCTTTGCATTTATTCTTGCCTTTATTGGATTCCTATAATTGGATTCCTATAATGTGCTGTACATTGGGCTCTTCTTGAGGAACTCAAAGAGGTTTCAGCTGGTCTAGAATATGCAGATTAATGAATGTGGCTACTGACTTATTTAACATTTCCTAAGTGTTCTACACATAGCAGGTATGTAGTCAGATTTCCTTTTGACAACACAAAAAATCACTGAATGCAGACATATAAATGTGATTAAGACTAATAATGTTTTAATTTTGCCCAAAGATCTTTTAAAGCTATTCTAATTATAATCATTTTTTTTCTAGGTAAAGGCTGGTTCTGTAAAACAAGAATTTGAGAAGCAAGATGAACTGAAACGTTCAGCAATGAGGGCAGTAGCTGCTCTACTGACCATCCCAGATGCCGATAAAAGCCCTGTAATGGCCGAATTTTCTTCCCAAATCCGAGCCAACCCAGAAATGTCTTCCCTCTTTGAAAGCATTCAGAAGGATCCCACTTCATTATCCACAACAGACTCAATGGATCTGAGTTAGAACTCTTGGACTATTTTGTCTGCTGCTTACAATCCAGTTTCCAGTGCAGGAGCTAGAAATGATTTTAGAGCCAGGTGTCATTTTAAAAATGACAATTATTTCTATGGAAACAAGTAAGATTTCAGATATGATAAACAGCAACCTTATTTTTCAGTTACCACTTATTCCTTAGTTCCAAAATGCAATCATGCCAAAAGAAAAGTCAACCTAATTACAGTACTGACAAGTGTATTTACCGCCCCTTCTATTATTAAAGTGAAAACCCCACAATGAATTCTTCGAAGTGATGAGATTGTCATGCTGTACCCCCAAATGAATCAACAGATGTGGCATCAGTTAAATGCTGATGTTCACATTTGCTGATATTACAATTAATTGATTTTTCATAGTGTTAAAATATTTTATAGCCATTGCCATGCCTCCCTCCTTTGAAATTAATACCGAATTACAGAAGTATCTCAATTGTCTTCCAAGATTGAATGTCTTATGCTTCGTTAATGTGGCTTGTCTGCCACTCTGTAATTTTTTTCCTGTATGGACCTTCTTGCTATAATTCTTGTTTTTTTTTAAAGGAGCTGATACCAAAGCACTGATTATTTCAAAGTATATAAAATTAGCATGTTATTATCAAGAGACATTCATCTGGTATAAATATGTAGTAATGAATTGGCACCATTCATTTATCAAAATGGAAATACAACTGTCGTGTTATCATTTTTTTTTCATTCAGCAAGGGTCATATTGCTGCCTTGCAGCTCCTGATTACATTTCATTGGGGGGGGGGAGTCATATGCCACTTAATACGTGAATCACTTAAGTGCTCTATTTATAAAACAGGGTGTCACCTTTTGCTGTACATGCATCAGAAGAAAATAAAGTCAAATATATAAATGATGGAATTTGGTTAATGGTTTTGTACCCAATTAACTTTTGCATGGACACATGAAAAATAACAATTTTGAAAATCCAAGATAATCATTGTTATGATACAGACAAGCAAAATGTTAACATAAGGGAACCAAAGAATCATAATGAAGCCTGGTTGTTTCTAATGCTGAAATTGAATCAATTTACAGCAAAATGCAAGTTGCACAATTCACAATACCTTCAGGTATAGGACATTCTATATGCTTTATATGAACTTGAACTTGCTACTTTATACAAATTAATTTTAAAATCTTGCAATTTTAAGCACAACTTAAATGTTAATGAAACAAAATTGTGAAGCTATTTTAAGACAGAATATTAATCAGCAGATGACATTTAAGTACTTGGGTTCAATGTACAGGTCCATCTTCACAAATACCATTGCTAAACTGGCTACATTGTATATGCATTTCATTTTTGTTCCCTAAATTAAGTATTTTTCATTCATATATATTTATTTTATTTAGGTAGTTGTCCTGAGAATTTTAGTAAAGCATAAGGAACTTATTAAATTTTATTTCTGCCTTCTAGGGTTTCAGTTATACTCCAATTTGTGTCACTTGCAAATTGAATCAAAATTTCTTTCAAATCTTTATCCACATAAGTACAATGTTGAACAGAGGATCCAGATCTGAACCCTATGGTGCTACTCTCAATAACTCTACATTGCTTGCAGTAGTTTTCAAGCCAGCTATGTGGTACATCCATTTAAGTATAATTAAATTCAGCCAACACTGAATTAGCTTGCTAATCAAAATGTAATGTGTCATATCTGAAAATTAAGATATATTATGTACAGCATTCCCACAATCTTTTGGAACTTGTTCAATGAAAAATGTAGTTTACTCTGGGAGGGTTTTCTGTTGACAGATTCATTCTGACACCTGGCAACCACTGACTTCCAACTGCATGCTTGACAATATATTCTTTTGTAACTACAACAAATTATATTTGTGCAAATATTTATTAGCAATCTCACTAATTTTAGATCTACCTCATTTCAGAAATTAGGATTTCTTTCATAGGTGCACCACCTAATTCAATTCATGCCAAGAACACACATTTTCCAAATTTTATACTTTATTAAATATAGTTGCTCAAGACAAACTATTCATTTTCTTCACTGCGCAGTCTGGCATTTGGATTGGTAACTTTGATAGCAAGCTGAGCTGCTCTCTCCACAATTACCTTCCGGTTCTTGGATGAAACGTTATGAGCAATTTCTGCACAAAATGACCTAAAAGCAACCACAAAATAATGTCACAATCTTTTTGTTAATATATTGAATGTTTCTAAGAAATTTTCCTCAAAATGATTTTTATGAAATTCCAGACAGTGAAAAATCATCTACTCTGACTAGAACGTAAACTAATCTAGATATATAACACACCTTCTTCCCCATTTTCTCCACAACCACCATCCTATGAGTTGGGGAGAGTAAGTGATTGATCCAAAGACACCCAGCTAGCTCTCATGACTATCTCTGGCCTTCTAGCATGGTGTTTTAACCACTAGACCGAACTGGTTGTCATTACTGTCCTGCCTCTTGTTAGGGAGGAAGGCAGCAGTGGGTAAAGTTTCGGTACTATAGTTCTATGTTCTCCAGGCTTGGCTGCAAACTCTGGGGAAGCTCCCTTTTTACCCTCCTTAGTTTTAGTTGGAGAATTAGATGTGCAAAATGAGTCAACTGCCCCGATTCAGTACAGATTGTCACAACAGATCATTTAATGACTATTTGAAGTTACAACAGTACTGAAAAAAGGTAACTTATGACCGTTTTTCACACTCATGAAGGCTGCAGCATCCTCATGGTTATGTGATCAAAAACCAGACACTTGGCAATTGACTCATGATGGATGCAGTGTCCCAGGATCCTGTGATCAGCTTTTGCGACCTTCTGTCAAGCACAATCAATGGAGAAGCCAGATTCATTTAACAACCATGTTACTAATTTAACAACCACAGCGATTCATTTAACAACTGTGGCAAGAAATGTCGTACAATGGACAAAATTCACTTAACTGCTTTGCTTAGCAATATAAATTCTGGGGATCAATTGTGGTTGTTAAGTCAAAGACTACCTGTATGACCACAACACAACTGACTGTTGGGAGAATCCTATGCTAGGCCTTATTGGATCTGTTTGACATAAATATATCCGCCACTGCCCTGGGATTAGCGTTCAAGATGATGTGGTATATACACTGCTCAAAAAAATAAAGGGAATACAAAAACACATCCTAGATCTGAATGAATGAAATATTCTTATTAAATACTTTGTTCATTACATAGTTGAATGTGCTGACAACAAAATCACACAAAAATTATCAATGGAAATCAAATTTAGCAACCCATGGGGGTCTGGATTTGGAGTTACACTCAAAATTAAAGTGGAAAAAAACACTACAGGCTGATCCAACTTTGATGTAATGTCCTTAAAATAAGTCAAAATGAGGCTCAGTAGTGTGTGTGGCCTCCACGTGCCTGTATGACCTCCCTACAATGCCTGGGCGTGCTCCCGATGAGGTGACGGATGGTCTCCTGAGGGATCTCCTCCCACACCTGGACTAAAGCATCCCCTAACTCCTGGACAGTCTGTGGTGCAACGTGGCGTTGGTGGATGGAGTGAGACATGATGTCCCAGATGTGCTCAATTGGATTCAGGTCTGGGGAACGGGCGGGCCAGTCCGTAGCATCAATGCTTTCAACTTGCAGGAACTGCTGACACACTCCAGCCACATGAGGTCTAGCATTGTCTTGCATTAGGAGGAACCCAGGGCCAACCGCACCAGCATATAGTCTCACAAGGGGTCTGAGGATCTCATCTCAGTACCAAATGGCAGTCAGGCTACCTCTGGCGAGCACATGGAGGGCTGTGCGGCACCCTAAAGAAATGCCACCCCACACCATTACTGACCCACTGCCAAACCGGTCATGCTGGAGGATGTTGCAAGCAGCAGAACGTTCTCCAGACCCTATCACGTCTGTCACATGTGCTCAGTGTGAACCTGCTTTCATCTGTGAAGAGCACAGGGTGCCAGTGGTGAATTTGCCAATCTTGGTGTTCTCTGGCAAATGCCAAACATCCTGCATGGTGTTGGGCTGTAAGCACAACCCCCACTTGTGGACGTCGGGCCCTCATACCACCCTCATGGAGTCTGTTTCTGGCCGTTTGAGCAGCCACCTGCACATCTGTCGCCTTCTGGAGGTCATTTTGTAGGGCTCTGGCAGTGCTCCTCCTGTCCCTCCTTGCACAAAGGCGGAGGTAGCGCTCCTGATGCTGGGTTGTTGCCCTCCTATGGCCTCCTCCACGTCTCCTGATGTACTGGCCTGTCTCCTGGTAGCGCCTCCATGCTCTGGACACTATGCTGACAGACACAGAAAACCTTCTTGCCACAGCTCGCATTGATGTGCCATCCTGGATGAGCTGCACTACCTGAGCCACTTGTGTGGGTTGTAGACTCCGTCTCATGCTACCACTAGAGTGAAAGCACTGCCAGCATTCAAAAGTGACCAAACCATCAGCCAGAAAGCATAGGAACTGAGAAGTGGTCTGTGGTCACCACCTGCAGAACCACTCCTTTATTGGGGATGTCTTGCTAACTGCCTATGCTTTCCACCTCGTCTATTCCATTTGCACAACAGCATGTGAAATTGATTGTCAATCAGTATTGCTACCTAAGTGGACAGTTTGATTTCACAGAAGTGTGATTGACTTGGAGTTACATTGCGTTGTTTAAGTGTTCCCTTTATTTTTTTGAGCAGTATATTATATAGCAATGGGGGCTGGAGGAAAAAATGAGAGTAGAATACAATTACAGTCCAAGATTTCTAGTTCTATTGGCATTTTTTCCAATCTTTAAATACTTTCCGTCAATAATGGCAATATAAAAATTGTTTTCATTTTTCTCAGTCATCTATTTTTACGTTATAATCTTTCAGCAACACTAAAGAATTTTGTAAAGGCAACAAAGTAACAGAAAAAGGACTCATCTTAGGGAGGAAGAACCAGACATTCTGAGGAAGAGAATTACAAAAGATACCTAGAAAAGATGCCTAAACCAAAAAGGCTGGTTTAACGGATTCCATCTTCATTTCAGAACAACTTAATTTTACTATAGCAACGCAACATGGCAGATCCTAAAGAATAATCACAAAACACTTTTTCCAACTTACTTGTTGCTCATCATTAGCACCTCCAGCTCTTTGACATTATGAACAAGAAACTTCCGGAATCCCGAGGGCAGCATGTGTTTTGTTTTCTTATTGCTCCCATAGCCAATGTTGGGCATCAAGATCTGGCCCTTAAATCTTCTGCGAACTCTGTTGTCGATACCTCTTGGCTTGCGCCAGTTACGCTACAAGAATTCAAAACCAATTGGAAGAACTTCAACATGATGTTTTCAGAGTTTGTCATTTTAAAGTTTTGAAGACCCACAATAAACCACCAAAGTATTTTAACATTAACTGAGGGTTTAACATTAACAAAAAGAATATCTACCTTGATTTTGACATAGCGATCAGATTGATGACGGATGAACTTCTTGGTCCTCTTTTTGACAATATTAGGTTTGATGAGAGGCCTCAGAGCTGGCATTGTAACTAGGAAGAAAAACATATGTAAGGAATTATGACCTGTAGTCTATAAATAAGTATAAGTATCTATTAGTATAAACTTGTTGCAGAATATCTTCCGTTTGCTCGCACTTTTCAGAGCCAGAAACAGAATGGGTGTTTTCTGCAACTTATATCCCTCCTGTGTCCAAAGCTGGAAGAGTACAAAAACTCTCCAGATGCGATCCTGGGAGGTTATTAATTTAAAATGTGAGTTCTGGGGATCTCTCATTTTTCCGTATTTCTTTAGTATATAGTGCATTCTTAAAAATGATACAAATTCTATATTACTTAAAGCAACCAACAGCAAAACCAATGGGTCATCTATTACAAATGGACTCATAGAAAGTGGATG